AATCCTATAATGATTAGGATAACTACAATAACAAGGATAAATACAAGGAGCTTGAGTGTGGATAGTGACAAGTCTTGGCCGCCTGGATAAGGATAAGGATAAGGTCTTGGCCGCCTGGTTTAGTGACTGAACTAGACTGATGTGGTCTGGTCCATTTCTCGGATATGGCTAACCACCATTTCCTCCATTTCTTAACACAGACCTAATAATTTCATTTAAAAACCAATTTCATTGGAGATTATGAAAGCAAACAACCTTGTCGGTGGTAGGCTTTGAATATATCAAGAGAGATTTGCGCCAATATACAAGATATGAAAGTTAATTAGGTACAAAATGGGGTAACTTTTATATTGGGTTTGGTTGTAAAATGGGGTTGCTGTACGTACATATTTGCCTCTATCACCAAAATGAACCAGAAAGCTCTTAAGCGAAGCGCGTGATGTTCACCTATCGAGGAGATAGCAAATGTAAAAACGAAAGACATAGGTTTGCAGATAATGTCGTAAGTGTTATGGGGCTTTTATATTTGTATGCTCTTCGGGTGAGAAAGATGTAATGGTGGAGAATTTAGCCCAACATGGGTGTTGATTAAATACAAGTACATAAGAAACTCGGCAACCCAAAAATTGTAGACAAAATATATATGTGATGTTAACTGTACTTGGTTTATGGCCTTGGTTGAGTTAAATGAATGGGCTAATTTCGGGTGATCGTTAACATATAGCCAACTACTGGTACTCGTACAGTGGATTACAAACTTTGTCGGATATGCAATCATCCGTTTCGGGTGATTTTGAAAACGTGAACATGATATTAAATTTAATTTCTCGAATTGAAGGACACTTTTGTAGGTTACATTCCATTTATAAATAACGAATGATAGAGATTGACGAACTTGTTTGATGAAGAGAAACACTAGACAAACATCACAACAGGTAAGACATTGGACAGAGATCTACTTTTTAAGGAAAATAACGAGTACAGCAGTAGCTAAGACAAAACCTCCACCTGAATACCAAACCAATTTACGTAACACCTTCTCTGTCTCAATGATGTGCGCCGTCACGCGATTTTCAATGGACTTCAGAGTTTCATTCACAGAAGACGAAGAACTTGAAATCTCTAATGCAGCAAGCTGACCATGTGCTTGACGGAGAGAGGAACACAAAGCCTTAATTTCTTCCGTCTGTCTCAGTATCTTCTCCCTAGCCTCCAACAAACTCTGCTTCTGCCACAGGCAAGCGCGTTCCTTGTCATGCCATAGAAGAAATCCATGGTCTTCACACTTGTAATATCTCCTCCCTGGATTGTCATCGCTCCATGATATCTTCAAGACAGTTGGTTGTGTACAATGACATAAAGGGCCATCGGAGCTTCTCGTTGAATAAATAGAGGCCTCAGAATTTTGACTCAAGGCCATTTTCCTTAGATATGAGGAAAAATAAGATGAAGATAAGTAATAGCAAAGGGATGAGTTTTTAATGTTAAAAAACGAAGTTTCTCGTAGCTAACACGTCTCCTTTTCTCGTCCACTAATTTAAAAATGAAAGTTATACTTGTTTGGTCGAAAATATCAACTCAGTAGGCATTAATTGGACGTAAACCATACTGGTTCACGCATATATTACAATTACAATCTAATAAAACCAGCAAAAAAGTGAAACTAAACCGACATGCTGAAGATAATGACAGTATTTATATTTAAGAAAATTACATTAGTGTGTCAGAGATATTTTCCTCCGGAGCAACACTTATCATGAACAGTGACCCCTACGACAAGGTAGCCCGCAGTGCATTTAATGCTCTCTTCCAGAAGCGACCTAAAGACATGTATATGTGTAAGTATATATCCTTTTTGGCTATAAAATGAGACTTCCAGCATCATCCTTTAAGTAAGAAACCAAGATACCTTTTCGGTTTCCTCTTCCAGCTTCTGGATTTTCTACCTTCTAGCAGCTTTCGAGGTATATTACAGATCTTTTTCTAGGGTTCCTTATAGATAAAAACAACATAATTTAAATATTTAAGTACAACGTCTATAGGGCTATTATCTGAAACTTGAGACTGACGTCGTTTTATTGTTGTCCCCTATATATTTCAGATGGGTACGATAGTTAGAGTTGTACAAGGCTTATGGGAGAAGACGGCGACGGGGGAGTGGTGGTTTTCTGAAAACCCCATCACCGAGAACGATATTGTTGTTATAAACCACGGCGATCCGTTCGAAGGTGTTGTGGAGATGATTCGTATAAGGCTTGAACTAGGGGTGCTTACTCCAGTTGCCTTAACATATCGGGTCCATGATATGATCCTCCTTCCACCGAATAATGTTGCAACCGATGCAGATGTGGAGACAATGTTGACTGCAACGAAGTTTATGACGACACCGGTATTGTGCGTGACAAGTGGCCCTGAACTTGTCGCTAAATATCAATTTCTTTGTCGCTCACCTTTCAGAATTGGTGAGACAAGTTTTCTAGACGCGGGGATAACAGAAGAAGAACATCACGCAGCCATAAGAAGTACGTAACAAATTTATTGTTATTTTTTCATTTGGAAATAGAAAACGTTTCTTATTTACCGCAACTAAACACAAATAACTTTTTCTTAAAATAATATGTTTCAGATCTCGTTGGGGGACACCCCATTGTTTGCAGCCAACCAGTCTTGGAGATGATGTTCAATGAACCTCAACTGCTTAGTGTTTTTCGTATTACTCTTGAGATAGAGCTGGTTTACGCACCAACTGCTGAAGATATGGCCCAGTATCCGCACTTAACGTATGAAGATATTATTTCCATAGAGGAAGGTGAAACCATGAACGCCGACGCCCAAATCCACAACGCCAACAACCACGAAGGTATCTATTTTACAATCAAGTTAAAAACGACATATTTTTCAACCTGCCCTTGTATGGGGCATTCATGTAAACAAATGTAATACAAATATAGGAGGAAAGTGAAATAAGGGGGATACTAAGTTAGTCATTCATGTTTTAGTAGTAAGATAACACATATTTAGACGTACCTCCTAATATTATGAAGTACATTGTCAGAAATATAAAACGGTTAACAACTTCTTACACGTTATTTTTGCAATTGTAGTGTTACACGGAGAACCTATAAACGCTGCACATGTACAAAGTGCGTTTATTAATTTCGCACCTCCAAACATAGGAACGGAGGTAATGCCACTGGCAGTGGAACCAATTACGCAATTTCCTCCTTCAACAAACTATACCGGAAGTGGTCACTGAGGAGGAACAGGCATACTGGGATGGTGTTTTCCATGCAGAAGATAACGCGCTAGTCCATGTCTCCCCGTCCCCCCGTCCAACAAACGGTTCGGCAGGACTTCCCATTGGACCGTCTCTCAGAATCACAGCGCCCCAAACACCAACATCTGTTCTAGTTGTTGATGAAGCAGAGGCATCTTACACCGGTTCGTCGGACGGTTTTAACATCAATCCAACTAACCATGTCTCCCCTCCACCCATTCCAATGGCAGAAAACGTTATACTCATCTCAAGCACTGGCGAAGGAGGTAGAAATAACAAATATTATGTTTTGGAATATATATATGTTGTGAAATTTGTTATATACTGTTATAATTGGTAATCTGTTTGCTTCCAAAAAGCAGGAGACGCGACACCGGCTTTACAAAATGTCAACACCGCTCAAGAAAGCCATGTCACCAATGGTCGAACCGGTCGTCACAATGGAGAACCAAGTCTTGATCTCACACTTGCCATCGGAATAAATAACAATCTTGGCAGTGAAAACATCATCAACATAGAGGACACCGATTCTGAAGCTGACGGGGACAGTGGTGGGTTTGGGTCTGATCCTTTCTTTTAAATCAGGAATAATAAACCGTTATGTTTTGGTATGTCAAATAGTTCTACGGGGTGATCCTTTTTGGGTTTTTCATGGTAACGGAATGATGCAATATCTAATATGTGTGCTGGACTATGTAATGTAAGATATTTATGTAACATATGTTACCTATAATCTGCGCTTTGAACCACTAATTCGACCGACAAAATCTAACTTCGCAGGCAACAGTCGTATAAGACTGCATGATCTTTACGAAGGAATGGTGTTTTCAAATAAAGGTCACTTCAAACATCATATGGCACTATATGCTTTGCGGAACAAGTTTAGAATGAGAAACACCCGTTCTTCTCCTGAAGGAATTGTCATGAGATGCTTTAGCCGCACATGTTTGTGGCGGGTGTATGCAACAAAGATTAAAAATATTGACAAGTATGAAGTCCGAAAAGCATCATTAGATCATTGTTGTTCGGTTGATGACCGTGTAGGTAATTTTCGAATAACCTTATATAATCCATTGATGAAGTTTTAGAATACCGTCTTAACTCTTTAATTTCCGATTGATTGCCCAACACAAACAGCTAAAATTCAAAATATGTCACATAATTTACACTCTAACAGGATATGAACGCCAAGCCACACATGGTGTTATTGGAGAAGTGATGAGGGCAAGATTTGTTGGTAATGGAAGTACACCAACCCCTAATGAGATAATGCAAGTAATGCTTGGTGATCATGATGTCAACATATCGTACTGGAAAGCGTGGCGCTCCCGTGAAGTTGCACTCGAGTTCGCAAAAGGATCTTCCAGTGCATCATATAACTTGCTGCCGGATTATATTCATAGTCTGGTGCTAGCAAACCCCGGAACAATTTCGCACATGGAAACACAATTCGAAGAAGGTGTTGGTCATAGATTCAAGTATCTGTTTCTGGCGCTTGGTGCTTCTATAAATGGGTTCAAGCATATGCGTACTGTTATTATTGTCGACGGAACCCACTTACGAGGTAAGTATGTTGGCTGCTTACTGACCGCTTCAGCCCAAGATGGTAACTACCAGATTTTCCCTCTCGCAATGGGTGTTGTTGATGGTGAAAATGACAACGCATGGGAGTGGTTTTTTAAAAAGTTATTAGAGTTCATCCCCAATAAGGAAGACATTGTTTTTGTTTCCGACAGGCACGCGTCCATTTACGTTGCAATATCTAAGGTACACAATTATAAGTTAAAGAACAAATGCTTCTACTTATGTTAAGTAAATAATTGTTGCATTTGGTTGTGCATTTACCTGCGGTTTAAACCATATGAACGTCGAGACGCGTAAACACTAAAGTAACTAATTCCCAATCCATTTTCAATGTAGGTTTACCCTCAGGCCAAACATTGTGCATGCATTTTACATTTGCAACGAAACATACGTACTTACTTCAAAAACAAGCATCTATCTTACCTTGTTGGCAAAGCAGCACGGGCTTTTTGTCTTCCTGATTTCTATGATCTGTTCAACCAAATCAAAATAGTCAATGCTTCTTGCGCTGAGTACCTATTAGGAATTGGGTTTGAACATTGGGCACGGGTGCATTTCAGTGGGAATCGGTACAACATTATGACTTCTAATGTTGCTGAGAGTTGGAACGCTGTTCTTCGTGAAGCTAGAGAGTATCCTATACTCCCACTTGTTGAATTTTATAGATCAAAACTGATGAATTGGTTTGCAGAAAGGCGGAGGGATATGACGAATGGAAGCAACCTATTAAGCCCACGTGTTGTTGAGATAGTTACAGCAAATTTTGAACAATGCGGGGGGATGCTGGCAAACACGATAAATAGTTCCGAGTATGAAGTGAAGGACAAAGAAGGAGGATCTTTCCACGTCAACCTACGAAACAAAACTTGTAGTTGTCAAGTATTCCAATCCCTAATGATACCTTGTTCACATGCTATTGCTGCTTCCATCAAAGGACAAGTACGAGTCGAATCCCTTGCTGCAGATGTGTACACTTTAGAGTGTATTGCATCAGCTTATAGAAATAATATATTTTCGGTTAGCAAGATCAATACCCGACTATCTGAAGTAACAGAAGCACCTGCATTTGAGGTCCTCCCACCTGCTACGAGGCGACCACCGGGACGCCCCCGTAAGAGGAGAATATTATCCACCGGAGAGATACGGGTATTTCCTAAGAACTATAATTTGGTTTTCAATAAAACAATGATCGACCTAACTTGTTATTTTATAGATGAAAGCACCAAGAAATAAACATGTGTGCAGCCGTTGCAAGGGAAGTGGACACAACCGAGCTACTTGCAAGGTCCCTATATAAACATATGTTTACCTCAACGAAATTTGGCAACACTCGGATGATGAAGGTGTTAGTTAAAGAAGGAGGAATATAAAATATTTAAAATAAGATTGCCAATGTCGGTGTTGAAATATCCTTACATTTTAATAACGATAACTTACACAACTTATCTATTATGGTCTTTGTATAGTAACAGCAACATGAATTTTTTAGCCTAGAAATGTTGCAGTATATCCGGTTATAAATGAAATTAAAGAAACCTTACAGCAATAACATCAGCTGGAATTTTGAGAGCGTCCTTACCTTATTTACAGAATGTATTGTTGTGTTGGACAAATGAATTGTGAGTTCGACTTTACCTGATTTTTAAAAGTTAATCATATAACATGTAAATAGAAAACCACAACATTTTATCATAAAACATTCGTAGATAATATTACAAAGTTGGGAAGAACCAAAACCACACCAACAAAGTAAACATGAGCCATGAGCCATGTGATAGAAACATCTGAGTAATACATCGTTAAAGCCAAAATACTACCATCACCACATATTAATAGACACATAAAAACAACCACCAACCTAACCACTCTTTCTGCTCAACCAGTCATGCAGTAATTGGCGGCACTCGTTGCTTTCAGGACAAACACACAAGAAAGGAGCAGTTTTGCCATCTCCAACGACATTGAAGACCACTAAGCAACCAATGGTGTATCTGTTATCACAACAGAATTTCGTCCACCCTCCTCTGATGTAATACATACTCTTTGATTTGCAAAAGAGCAAATTCGCAATCCATGAGTTTCCCTCCTTGTCAAGTAGTATGACCTCCTGGCATTGTTTGTTCAACACACTACATTGGTCTGTAGCTGCCGCAGGAAACATCTGCAAACACATTGGTGATGTAAATTTATTCTTTGTTATGTTTTGAAATAAAAACACATAGACCAAAAACGACTTACAAGTATGTCTTCTTGTAGGTTCTTATCAGTCACCTCAACCACGAAAGAATACTCAAATGAGATAAAATCACGCGTTGCTCCTGATCGTCCTGATACATAAGACAAAAATTTAGGAAACAAAATAGGACCGTGAGTTTTAATTGCAACTTACTAATCTCACCTGCAGCAGCAGCATGTGAGGAGGATTCGGCGTTGAGCAACGCAGGACGAGTATAGATTATCTCACAGGAGCTACGACCAATCGGAGTTACATGAAAGACCATCTCGCTTTCTTTTTTGAAGATGACGATGTCACCGACGCGAAGGGCATGAGCTTTGGCAAAACTTTCCCATCCTCTGGTGAATCTCATCCCATCTTGTATGACCTCCCAAGTCTTCTCGGAAGCGTCCGATGTAAATTTCCAAGATCTCTTGTTCATCTTCCCTTCTAAGTGATTTGCGAAGAAGGTAAGTGGTATGTCCTGAATTCAAAGAAGAGAACGGTAAACATAACTAAACATTACACATAGACTGTGGAAAATAGGGAGAATGTCACCATACCAAGCCAGTGTGGAAACCAGGGAGAATGGGCTTTACAAACTGAGGTTCATGCGGAGTTACGCGTAGAGACATCTACAAACAACACATGAATGAAAGATGTCATAAGTTAGTATCATAGAGACAATAAAATAATACTTAACAGAAACTAAAACCAGAGTCAATTATGACTTAAATGAACACACATCATCCTAAAATGACCACAAATCATCTTCCATTGTCTACCGCACTTCTAGCTAAAGAAAGACTAAGCTGAAAATATTGAAACCACAAGTCAAAACCATATGAAACATTAAAGCACAGCATGCAAAGTAATTACAGAAGTGAAAACTGGATGTCGTTGCGGTAAGCCTAAGATTACGACAACCAAATCAAAAACCTATGAATGAGGATAAATAACCTTTTTGACGGATACTTTAACCGTGGAAATCGCCGAGAAAAATTTATCCTCCAAAGAGAGAGACTGTGGACAAGCCGGTAATCAGTTATACAAATGAAATACACAAGTGAATCGAGAGATAAACATCACTTTTTCTCCTTCTTATAATTAAGTCTATTGATAAACACATGCAAATCGAGAGAGAGACATCACCTTTTTGGTGGGAATAGGCCGAGAATCTCCCCGTGAGAAAGCTGATCCGTCTCGCGGGACTCGACGGAGCCGTTGACCGAGTGAATCACCAAGAAAATCTGAAAATGGAGCGAGAGGGAGAAGAAAATCGAGAGAGAAGGAGAAGAAAATCGAGAGAGAGGAAGAGGAAAGGTTTTCGCGTATGACGCGGTTGAATGGGAACGAGGAGATTCCCAATAATATTAAGGGCTCACAAAATTAGGGCTTTTGCGTTTGTTTTGGGCCTAATTTACCCAACATACAGAAAAAGGCCACAGAAATTGAGCTCTTTACCTCCTTCTATATATACATCATAAAACTGCATTTCATTAAGTTGTTTTGGCGTATATCCGGTTACACTGCAAAATTGTTTACCCACAACTTCCCTATATTAACAGCAACAACAATGTTAAAAAAAGTAATGGTACAGTAAATCCGGTTATAATTGAAATTTAATTGACCTAAACTTCCATGTTTATAGACATCATAACATTAAACTGCAGTAATGTGTTTTGGCGTAAAACCGGTAACAGTCCAAATAATTTTGTTGCCAACGTCGCTATATATATACAACGTATCCAAATAGTAAGTACACGCTGCAAGTAAAAATCGACTGAGGTTTTAACATACACCCGTTTGAAAACACATACACTCAAGATTGTTTGAATTCAACTTTTACACATTATAAGTAAACATTTCAACATATTTTACAACTACTTCCCGTTATCTTATAACTCAGAAAAGATCTTTTGACTCAAAAGCCAATATCGCAGCACTCTTCCCTTCTTCGACCATAATGTTGGAACTAATATTCATGCATGCTTCGATACCATAAACAGAATGTGTGGCCATTAACAAGACAGCCATCAGCCCACTGTCAAAAGGATTATTACTTTGACTTACATCTTTGGGTCGCTCAAATGTAAATCGGTTTGGATACTCAGAATCAAAACCTTCCCCGGATTGGAGAAGTATAAACGGCAGCATTTCCAAGAAAGGAGCTAGCTGTATTTGTAGCATCTGCTCGGAGAACATGGGTGTATTGCAATCAAGTACAGTAAATCCCATAGACCTTTGATCGACGCAAATACCTACCCAATGTTTCTTGCATACGTTTAGTGGCATATAAAACCGTCTACAGTTGCGGAATGCCACATTCTTATCACCAAACGCGTTAACCAAGCCTTTCGAGAAACTGAACGCCTCTTTTTTTTTACTCTTACAAAACCTTGGATAAGCCCTCACAATTGCACTAACACATTTACTGTCGATGTATACATCTCTTTCTGAGACGTCGGCATGAAAATTTTGTTGTATACTGGATTTCACAAGTTGAATTAGTACGTCAACAACCTGAAGAACAATGATAAGATACAAATTTTGTAACATATAATATTTCTTAATTCTTAGCTGAAGAATAATTTTTCACCTTCGAAGTAGGAAATTTCTTTCTCTCTGCAACTTGTAGAATATCTTGGCCTCTTATCTCTACTCCACCAACTTTGAGGGAACTGAAATGCAATAAGATAAACAACAAACGGATATAACATTTACTTCTTTGATTACCTTTCCAAAAACCGTAATCATTATTCCTCCTTCTTATAATTCACTTACACTTGACACTTCACGTGTTGTAAGAGTTTTGCAAATTTTCTATCGATCTCTTTTTTCTCTGCAAATGCAAAAATGAACTTCTGCGCTTTTCTTACACGGGCTAGTATCTCCCGACCACACTCATAATCTTGTACAAGACCTTGGGGTAAACACTTTTGTCTCTTGCTCTTTCGATACGTCGGTGCATCTTCATTGTAGTCAACTTCATTAATGGTACAACGCCTAACAAGGCCCATCGACTCCATCGGACTAATACCCTCACCCCCCTTCAAATGTTCTTCCTGAGTTAGCCCTAGAGAGAAGGAAGGCATATCCATGCAAGGTCTCTGATTGAGGTTATCTATTGCCTATACAAAGAAACAATACAAGCACTGAAACTGTTAACCATCCTTCATAACAAGACTTGCGTTGTGTTGAAAATAAACTTATGCTTACGAAAGCATTATTCTGGCTATGAGCGGATTGTGCAAAACTATTGTTAATAGTTTCCCCAACAGCTTTATCATACACACCGTTGTTTTTTTCCGGACTATGATTATCCCCCTACAATGCAATGATGTAAATCAAAACCAACGAACCTCATATGTAACTTTCGACATGGCCGCAACCTAACTATAAACATATATGAGTATAACTGACCTGACTTAATCGTGGAGAGGCTGGAGGAGTACAATATTAACTTATATTGCGAAGTACATAATCAACAGCGTCATCATTTCCAACGGGAAGTGGAGTAACATTTGCATCCTCACCGTTGCGGTTTTCCAAACTTCTTGTATCTGTCCCCTTTTCTGCTCTCCTGGATCCAGCACCATCGTTGTTTTTATTGAACTCAGCAACAACAAAACCTACTGAGTCTACCATTTCTTCCTTAAACTTCGCCAATATAGACTCTACAACTCCAACCAAAGACCCCTCCATCAAATCTAACCTCCTCGACGCTTCCAAGATATCCCCTTCTAATCTTCGAAATTCTGGTCTCATTTTATCACTTACAAGTGAAGCAATGTTATCGGCATCTGAAGGTTGACAAAGTGTCTGATGTCTCTTCTGTTTCTTCAACTTAGAAGTTGATATCTCCGAGTTTCTCATCCGATGAACATCAAACTTACTCGCACCACCGGCGAACATGGACTTCGTGAATTCGAAGTTACTGTTGATAAGACGTACCAAGTTGTCAACTTTCTCATCGTCCTCCTCGTCGGACCAAACTAATTCCGACTCATCAATTGGTCTCGACGGGTCTTCATCAATGATGCTCCTCACGAAAACCTGAAAATGAACAACCCAGTGCTCCTTAATACCAATTCTAACTAATTTATTATGGATTCGAAATTTTAATTGTAAATGTCTGATATCTGTAACCGCGGAATTTTGAATTACTCGGAACTGTTATACTACAACCAGAAAGATGAAAAGTAAATTTAATAGAGATACCCAGCCTCTCCCTAAACCCCGGCTCTAAATTATAGATGATATAATTTCACAAGTCTCAAACACTGCAACCACTAAGATCATATACTATCTACCCTAGAATATGAATATTTGACTTTCATAACTTACATCACTTCTCTTGTCAATGTTTCTTGCATGACCCGGACTTAGAGTCTTCCTCTTTGCTTTCACAGTATTTTCTTCGTTTTCTTCTTCGCTATCACCTTCAGATGATGAACACGTTTCCTGGACAACTTCATTAAGACAGGGAACGGCCTCTACCATGACAAGCTGTAAGGCTAGTGCAAATCCTTTGATAGCAATCGTGTCCTGTGACAAAGCAACCTCATCTCGCTCTTTGATACTGGACATAAGCAAGTCAAAAGCAAGCCTTCCCCATGGATAATTGAAAAAATCCTCCAAATCTTCAATAGCATCAACGTGTTCCCTACATATTTTCATCTTTAAATTCGTTGGAAGAAGAACAGAAGATAGAATGGCCAAGCAAGCATATTTTATTCGAACAAGCCTCTCCTCAACAGTCCGCTTCCTCAACATCCTGATGACAGATGCCACTGTTACTACTTCAACTTTTCCAAATAACGAAGGCCAATAAGGCTTTTCGGATATACTATCTTTCAGATTCATCTTTGATTTGCTAGGAAATTTACGACATGGTAGTCCCGTGACGATTGCGAATTCTCTTAGTGAAAACCGGATTGGTTTACCAGCAAATCGGAACCAAACTTCATGTTTTTTTTTCGTCTTCATCTGTCTGGAAAGTAAGTATCTAACAAATCTACCCGAGAAAACTGGTTTTTCCACTATATCCAGGATTTTCCCAAACCCTGATCTCCTTATAATCTCTACCTCCTCTTCTTCAAGCGCGTTGTAGATCCGGGTTATGGCTCGTGATGATAGATAAGTAAGAACACGAACACCGACTGGTTCCTCCCCCGCCGCAAACATCATCTCAGGGATCGATCGTCCCTCTGCTTCTTCTTCTGGTGAATCTGGCCGATCTACTAGCCGGACACGAACCATGTTTCCTCTGATGGGATTTGTATGCTATTTTCTTAGCTACTGATTAATTTTCTTTAGTTTTGGCAGCTGAAATCAGTATGCCTTCAAACGTAGATATATATCAAGATGAAAGAGAAAGATGAGGGCGAATGTAAGGCTTAAAACTTTTGTTGATGTATTTATTTTCCTTTTATCTGACAAAGGATAACTACAAATGCGTGCATCTCATTACCTTACTCTCGAGCGTGAGCATTGACAGATATCACTATTACTTCTACGTAGGTTACGGCTGTCATATAGGATTGCAGATATAGTATATAGGGGTATTATTGTCCACACTTGCGCATGTTAACAGTTGCTGAAAATCACTTTACATTTCCCCTAAATAATCTTTCTTTCATGTATATTGCATGCAATTACTCATATATCAAACCAATAATGAACAATACATTTTCAAAGAAATAAATAAATACTATATAAAAGCCAGTTTTATTTTCAGCAATAAAACATTCTTGTAAACTAGAATAAATCTTGAAACAAAAAGAGATGTATAATGAAATCCTAAGACCTGACCCACCAATAATCCCCTATCTATCTATTATATTAAAAGAGAAGTCATGACTCACTTCATGTATGATTTTTTTGTTTATACTATCCTTAGAAATTTTATAAAATTTTACATAACATCATTATACTATCTTTTCATATCTTTAATTTTTATTTGAAATACAAATAAATAATATTAAGAAAATTCTAACAAAATCTTCAAAAATCTTATAGAATGTTTTCAAGATATAGTTTCAAAAATTACTTGATTAAAAATTTAATTATCATAGAATATAATTAAAATTTTAATTCATTTTTTATTTATAAACAAAATATTAAAACCATGTAATATACTTTTAACAGTATCCCAAAAATTTGTTTATGTATTATGTAAGTCCAATTTAATTTAATTTTTATATATATTTAAAATTTAGAAATAAAACAAAATATATAAATTAGTAATGTTACATAATAATGTTTTTAAAAAACTGTTACAAAAATAAAAATTTATGAATTTTAAATTATTATTATTATAAGCCACATAAATATTATTTATGATCATTGGATAGTATATACAATCAAATTATTTTATTTATCGATAAATTTTACTCCCTCCGTTTCTTAATATATGATGTTTTGGATCATTGCAAAAAATTTAAGAAATTTACATTCTTTTACAAAATCTTTTTAAAATCTTATAGAATCTTTTCAAGATGTAATTTCAAAAATTACTTGATTAAAAATTTAATTACCATAGAGTATAATTAAAATTTTAGTTCATTTTTTTATTTATAAACAAAAAATTAAAACTCTGTAATACACTTTTAACAATATCACAAAATTTTGTTTATGTATTATGTAAGTCCAATTTAATTTAATTTTTATATATATTTAAAATTTAGAAATAAAACAGTATATATAAATTAGTAATGTTACATAAATTAGTAAAACACTATATATCTCTAGAAAAATAAGTTGGTTTATATAATTATAATTATGTTTTTCATTAAACTATCTATCAAATTAATAATTAGTGTACAAAATAATATTCTCTGTATTCTTAAATAAAACAGATGGAATTACCTAATAAATTAATTATAGAGCATTACAACATATTTTTGTAGCTAAGTGCTATCACCAAAATAGTTTTCAGAATCTTTAGAAAAATAAGTTGGTTTATATAATTATATATTATGTTTTTCATTAAACTATCTATCAAATTAATAATTAGTGTACAAATTAATATTCTCTGTTTTCTTAAATAAAACGTATGAAATTACATAATATGATTAACATATATATGATAATTAATGATTATGAATAATACATATTTGATAACAATTTTGTTTCGTTTCCCTTTTGAAAAATATAATATTAAGATAATTAAACAATGACATTAAGCATATAATAAAAAAAATAGATTTTTTTTATACGTAGAATTTTTTGAAACGACTATAAATTACTAAAAATGGTAAAAGTCCCACATCGAAATTTTTTGATCAATGGTTTAACTTTTTTCTTTGTTTAGCCAAGATACAAATGATTATAAATCGTATGAATATGAAGTCTCTTTATTAGATATTCATATTATATATATATATATATATATATATATATATCAGTATAATTTAAATTAAATTATATACTATATTAAATATATAAGATGTTAATTTTAAAATTTATAGTGAAAATTATTGAAATCTTAATATTTTAATTTTTAAATTCGTATTGGAGCAATCTCACATTAATTTTTTGTGATTTATTTAAATTTTTGTTAGAAAAAATTATACAAATGTAATAAAATCACATGAGTAGAAAGTATGAAGAATAAATACATATTAAAATATACCACATATATATGTCAATATCAATAATGTTCAATTGTATACCTTATAAGTAAATAAAATGGTTATTTTTATTTATTTACCAAAACATGATTATAAATTAACAAAATGTATTAGTTTCGATTTATGTGCCTACTCTTATGTATATACTTTTATGTATACAATTTAATTTTTAAATAGGTAGTTTCTAATATGTTATTTGATCCTAAAAAGTAGAGAATTACACTTCTTCAAATCGAAGTAAATTTTAATATTGGAAACACTATATATATATATATATATATATATATATTATTTAATTCAAATTAAATAAATTTAATTTTGGTATTTATTGCTAAGAAGTTTTTAATGAAATATCATGACAAGATTACAATCACCTCCTTTTGAATTTGTTCGAAGAATAAGAGATTTGATCATTCGTCTAATATTTGTTTCTCCGTAATACCCAATATAACTATTATAATTTATCCGAACAAGATTTATGATCTTAGTCCTTTGGGATTTAGTTATAATCCAAATCAAACCGAAATCTAAACTAGATACGAACATATATGAAATTAGTATAATATGTTAATGTTTTTTTTTATGTCAAGGTAATTTATATATTTTATTGTATTCAAAATATTTTTGTAGTTTGTTTTAATTTGTTTTATTTTGAATATTCTTTAGTTAATTTAGATAGGTTAACTAATTTAAAATTAAATTTACAAATAACTTAATTTTTTTACATTTTTTTTATCAGTTTGAGGTTTTGGACAATTTTAGATTTTGATTTTATTGTGATCCAAACCAAATCTGGAAGAAACTCAAATAGGACTGAAGGGCATAATACCAAAAAGAAAAAAAAACTGAATTAATCGAAGCGAAAGCGACGAGTCCGTCCAAGCATGTGATTTAAGAGAATAACATTTGCATCATCATTTTACAATAGATATAGATTATGATGTTTCAAAATGTTAAAATTGAACAAACAATAATATAAAAAAGCTCACGTAATATAGATTAAAAGTCCATCAGGCTGTTATCTAATATTAAACAATGATAAGAGTTTTTTTGTTAAAAGTAATGTTGATTTCGGCTTAGGTTAAAAGCTTTGAGCTATAGAAAATGGAGGTTGTTGATGAGGAAGAAGAACGTTTTAAACCAAAATCACAACATAAAAACATCAAACCAGACAATTAAAAAAAAGAAATAAATACTCCATATGAATGTAAAATAAAACTAAAAATGGTCGGACGAGAGACATGTTCGAAAATAGAGATAGCCGATCAAAATCAAATCAAAGAGTTGTTGTTGTGCCTTTCAAAAACAAAACAAGAAAAAACTTTCTCCGATGATAGTTGTGCAGACGACGAGAACTTTCCTTCAAAGTAGATCAGCAACGTTGCTCGGCAGCTCCTCAACAACAACATTATAAAACTTCTGAATATCAAACAACATCCTCTCATCATCCTTGGTCACAAAGTTAATCGCCACTCCTTTCCTCCCAAACCTCCCACTCCTACCAATACGGTGAAGATAATTCTCCGGCTGAGTCGGCAAATCGAAGTTAATCACCAAAGACACCTGCTGAACATCAATACCACGAGCCAAAAGATCAGTAGTAATAAGCACACGCGAGGAGCCAGACCTAAACTCCCTCATGATAATATCTCTCGTGTTCTGGTCCATATCTCCATGAGTAGCTGACACAGTATGGTCACGTCCCCTCATTTTATCAGTGAGCCAATCCACCTTACGCCTAGTGTTAACAAAGATAACACTCTGAGTGATGGCAAGAGTCTCGTAGAGGTCACAGAGCGTCTCGAGCTTCCACTCTTCCTTCTCAACGTTGACATAAAACTGCTTGATACCTTCTAAGGTGAGCTCATCACGCTTCACCAAGATTCTCACCGGCTTGCTCATGAACTTCCTTGTGATCTCGAGAGCCTCTGGTGGCATTGTTGCTGAGAAGACTCCGACTTGGATCTTCGGTGGGAGGAGCTGGAAGATGTCGTAGATCTGGTCCTTGAACCCACGGGAGAGCATTTCGTCAGCTTCGTCAAGAACAAACATCTTGATGTTGTCAGCACGGAGGGATTGACGCTTCAACATGTCAAACACACGCCCTGGAGTTCCCACGACGACGTGGACACCAGCTTGGAGGATGCGTTGGTCTTCACGGACGCTTGTTCCACCAACACAGGCGTGGACCTTGACGCCGAGGTAATCACCGAGTGCCCTCATGACTTTTTCAATCTGCTGGGCGAGCTCTCTGGTTGGAGCAAGAACGAGAGCTTGACACTGGACGATGCCGAAGTCTAGCTGCTGCAAGACACCGGAGCAGAAAGTGGCGGTTTTGCCGGTACCGGATTGAGCTTGTTGGATCACGTCGAGGCCTTGGCAGAAAGGGACGATTCCTCTTTGCTGAATCGCAGAAGGCTTCTCAAAACCTGCGTAGGACAGACACAAGATGAGGACAAGGTTTAAAAAAAGAGAGGGGTTATAAAAAAGAAGAAAGCTTTATTGGGTGTCTTGTAGACGTACCATAAGCGTAAATACCCCTGAGAAGATTCTCATGAAGACCCATGGCGTCAAAGCTGTCGTGAACCTCATCATAAGAGGTGAAGAACTCATCCTGTCCTTCAAGAACTTCGTTCAACTTCTGGTCGAACTGACGAGCATCAAATTGTGTGCCTTCTGGTGCGGATCCTGCCATGACTACATACACGGAAACACAACATTAGTTAGCGATAACATAAATTAACTAAGCAAAGCAAAGAGACAACAACTAATTGATTTCAGACAGTAGCAAAAGAGGAGAATGTGACAGAATAGCCAAACTCGAAAGTCCATAAAGAGAGGAAAACAAGCATTAATATCTGTCTTTGATATGATGTTCGGAGAGAATGTTTTTAAAAGGTATATGGTTGATCCAATATTTTAGACAAACCACTAAACCAATTCCTCCAAATTACAACTAATTCAAACAAACACAGTCAGTTATGGGATAAAAACAGTCTAATGTCAATACAAAAACAACATACAAAAAAAAAAAATATCAGAGGTTGAAGACAGTCCTATTGAGAAAACAATCCCTAAAGGAACAAATTTTCATTGATTTAAATCAACGAACCTACAGATTTATAACATAAATATTCGTCATCATCAGCTTATAATCTAATACACAGACAAGGATAGTCTCTAGTAACTCGATCTAATACCATCGGTATGTATCAGTAGTAAAAGTTAATCAGATTCATATAAACTGAAAGGAAGTTATAAACTTTCAAACGTAGATGAATCAGAGAGGTGAACCTGGAGCTAAAGAGATTGGTAAAGTAGATTGCTTTGTTGGTTAACTTTTTAGGGAGGTTGTTTCTCCCAAACTCGGATCTAAAACGGCGAAGTGAGAGAGCGAACGAAGCTTTTGAGGCTTTGTAAGAAAAGAGCGAGTAAACAAATGGTAAAGAGGCTGAGAGAAGCACGTTGTTATCTTTATATACTCCTCTTTTTTTTACATGAGTCATGTTAGGGTTTTCTCGATACGATTCCTTTTCCTGTTCTTTTTGGGAATTCCGGTTTTACCCTTTCATAGCGTTTCCTTTTTCTCTTTTGTGTCGGGGACATGGATCTTTCCAACACTAGTTAGTGGTTCGTGTCTTAATAAGTTTTAACGACCAAAAAATTAGCAGCAATTAGTGATAATTGTGTCAAAATTGGGAAATATATGCAGTAAAGTTGGCACCATATCAAAAACCACTAAGATAAATGAAGGTGAAGGAGTAAATAAATAACAGAAGAAGCTGTTAAAGATTCTCAAGACCCATGTATTACGTAGGCCCATTAACAGAGTTGACTTTTTAAGAATAGTTTGACTAATCGCAGCCGTTGGATTGATGCCCACTAACAAACGCACCTGATGATCGCTGTCTTTTGGCAAGCCGCAAAAGCTCAGAGAGAACATCACAGAGAATAACAAGAAGAAGTCGAAACTTGGAATTGGAAACTCAAATCTCCATCTCTCATATTCCTCTGAAACCCTAAACAGCCCGATTTAATCTCGGATCGTCTGAAGCAGTTCCGATTCCACAACACAATCAAAATGGCTTACGCGTCTCGTATCATCTCTCATTCCAACAAGGTACCTTCCGATTCTCATTTTCTATGATTTTTTTTCTTCCGTTTTGATCGTTTTTAACTTTCTATTGTTATAATCCGATCGATTCTCTGTTTAATTTGGAGATTGTGTTGGTTTAGTCATCTCTTGGTGATGTTTTATATGTATGCTTAAATGTTATTAACACCACCATTTGATGGTTGTTTAGCTGAAACATGTTTCCACTTTACTGCGGCGTGAACATTCCGTGGCAGTACGCGGATTCTCCAACACTACGCACCCCTCTCTCACTGCAAGAGAAGGTCTCTTTCACTACTCTTTTCCTTAGCTCATTTGATGATGAAATGATTGATATCATGCTGTCTTCGTTGCGGAAGAACGAACATCATAACGTTCTTTATTAAATGTATCATATGTTTTTGAGTAGTTGCTTGTTGTTTTTCAGCATTTTTCTGTTTTGGTCTTCAGATATGCTCAAGACTCGACCGTCTTATTCCCCCGTAGAGAGGATTTCGAAATGCAATGTAAGCCCCTTTCTGTTCCCTTTCCTTTCTCGTCTATGTCATTAAAATCACGTCTAATTGCTGTATTTTTAGTCGTGATGTGATTAAATGCGTTATATAGGTACCAATGCCTAGTGGTATTTCAGCAATGAGCACAAAGGCAATGACAGGGCCATCTTTTTTAAGAGATTATATGAGGTACTTACTCTTCTCAATTCGTTTGCTAAAGTGCATACTTCTTGCTGCATGCCTGAATAGATGCGTCTATTATAGCACTAACCTTCTTTTGTTTGCTTATCAGCTCCCAGATGCGATCTGTAAGAGCGTTTTCATCCGGTTCAGGTAGTTAGTTCTTCATCCCGAGTTTTTTGTTTTTTTTTTTACTCCTGTAACTTTCAGCTTGCTCTTCTGTACATCATCTAACAGCTGGAACTACTAGTGGTTTAACTTGGTTTTTGTGTCTTTTACTATCATCATGTTTCTGTTACTGTGAATATGCATAATCCTACATGGTCCGTTTTACAAAGAATATCTAAATATGTTTCAGATCTTCCTCCTCATCAAGAGATCGGAATGCCTTCTCTTTCGCCAACAATGACTGAGGCATGGAGCTCCCACTACTTTTTTTCTCGAGTTACGTTGTTAATTATTTTAGCTTTATACTAACGCTATTTGTCTAAACTTCAGGGTAACATTGCCAGATGGCTGAAGAAAGAAGGTGATAAAGTCGCTCCTGGTGAAGTGCTTTGTGAAGTTGAAACTGTAATGTTAATTTAGACTAAATTGAATCTCTTCTTTGTTTTTGCTATCATGCCTGGGACATAATACTAATTTCAAGCTATATATTTTAGGACAAAGCAACCGTCGAAATGGAATGCATGGAAGAGGGTTATCTCGCCAAGATAGTAAAGGAGGAGGGGGCAAAAGAAATTCAAGTTGGGGAGGTATGAATATCTATGGCATTTGGACATCAGTTTATTACATTGGCTGTTATCAAGTTATGATTGTTTAGCTGTACACTCCCTTTTTATTGAAGATTATTGAATTATGCATATATCGTTGTGTCTTTGTCCGACTAGGTGATTGCTATCACAGTGGAAGAGGAAGAAGATATTCAGAAGTTTAAAGATTACACCCCTTCATCCGGTGCTAGTCCCGCTGCTCCTGAAGAAAAACCAGCTCCTTCCCCACCAAAGGAAGAGAAGGTCGAGAAACCAGCCAGTGCTCCTGAAGCCAAGACTTCCAAGCCAAGCTCTGCTCCTTCAGAAGATCGTATTTTTGCTAGTCCTCTTGCAAAAAAGTTGGCTGAAGATAATAGTGTTAGTTTTCAAATAAATTACTATTAAAACTTTTGTGTTTAGTCTCATGCTCTTAATTATCTCCTACTTTTCCCTTGAAAACATTAGGTGAATCTCTCAAGCATCAAAGGCACAGGTCCTGAAGGACGGATAGTCAAGGCTGATGTCGAAGAATTCTTAGGTAACGTAATTGCTTTACTCTTCCCTCTCCTAACATTGTCCTCCGGGTCACTCTTGTCTCTATATTAACAGTATTTAAACAATCCCTGTTTCCTAATACATCTTCCTGTGGTACAGCTTCACGTGGTAAAGAAACTACTGCCAAGCCTTCCAAGCCCACCGATTCCAAGGTTCCAGCTCTGGACTATGTTGATATCCCTCACACTCAGATACGAAAGGCAAATACCTATACAACCTTTATCTGTTTTTGTTTTTTAAACCAAATTTCCCTAGTTCAAGGATTCTGAAATCTGTTTATTGTATGATTTTTACAGGTCACAGCCTCACGTTTGGCATTCTCAAAGCAAACTATTCCTCACTACTACTTGACCGTGGATACATGTGTGGACAAAATGATGGGGTAAGTATTATGTTTCAGATAATGTATTTTTGGTTCGGTCAATAGATGCTAGACATAGCTACTTTTATATGCAGTCTTAGGAGTCAACTGAACTCATTCCAAGAGGCTTCCGGTGGCAAACGCATATCTGTAAATGATCTCGTTATTAAGGTACATGGTACTTGTGTTTCTGAAAGCAAAGCCAAATAAAATTTCAGTCTCTGTCCTTTAAAACCTTTTCTTGTTCGAAATTGCAGGCTGCTGCATTGGCTCTACGGAAAGTTCCTCAGTGCAATAGTTCATGGACAGACGAATACATCCGCCAGTAAGTTTATTTGCTGCTTCACTTGTTCATGACAACTTTGCAAATCATCTAATTTATTGGTTAAATTTTCCCGTTGTTTATATACAGATTTAGCAATGTGAACATCAATGTCGCAGTACAAACAGAAAACGGGCTTTACGTTCCAGTTGTCAAGGTGAGAGAACACTCTCAATACAGTTATCAATCCTTTCTTAAAAAATAACTTCATCAAATTGCTTAATTCCAGGACGCTGACAAGAAAGGACTGTCTACAATTGGAGAAGAGGTTCGGTTCTTGGCTCAGAAGGCTAAAGAAAACAGCTTGAAACCTGAAGATTACGAGGTTTAATTCGGATACGGTCACTGCTCACTTATAATGCTTCTCCGAAAGCAAATCAGCTCAAACTGTTTCTTTTGACAGGGAGGAACATTCACAGTTTCCAACCTGGGAGGACCTTTTGGCATCAAACAATTCTGTGCCGTCATCAATCCACCTCAAGCTGCTATTCTAGCCATCGGATCCGGTAACTACTTACGCGCACACACACACACACACATTCCATTCGTCCATTGAAGTTTCTTGCCCGTAACTGATTGTATTGTTGTGTCTGAATCTCAAAACAGCTGAGAAGAGAGTTGTCCCTGGCAGTGGCCCTGACCAGTTCAACGTCGCTTCTTACATGTCTGTAACACTTAGCTGTGACCACCGTGTTATAGATGGTACATTTCCACCTCCATTCCTACGCATTAGCATCATCATCACATGGAAAATATCTAATAGTAAGTGGTCGTCCTTGTGCAGGTGCGATTGGAGCTGAATGGTTGAAAGCATTCAAGGGCTACATCGAGACCCCAGAGTCTATGTTGCTGTAAACTCCAACTCACACACGTCAAAGCTAAAGCTCATAAGAGTATGACATTAAAATTCTCTGGTTGGACAGTTTCTACCAGATTTGTTTCCTTTATCCCTGTGCATGCCTTCCAAAGTTGCTTGCTCTTGCCATTTTTTACGTTGAGTTGACAGATAATTTTTCTCGAAATAAAATCAGGAATCCAACAAGTTTACTCTTAAATGGATTGCTGTATTCATCATGGGTTGGCATCAAGATAATACCAATTTGTTATTTGTTAATCATAACTAGAGATGAATGTTTCCTCCTTGATTTGATGTCATTAGCCCTTGTGTGTGTCTCCATCCATCGTCTCTGAATGTTTCCTCCTTGAGAGGGACCGGTAAGGCGGCAAGAAGAATTGACTTCTCAACCGAGAATTTGCAGCCAAATGGTCTCTCTCTTTTCTCTATGTTGTGTGTTTAGGTCTAACAAGAAAAGTGATCTGACAGTTATAATATCTGTGTGCTTTTTTTCCGACAACTGCTTTTTATCGTTTTTGTTGATTTTACTGTAGCTGAAAGAAACACTATTGATTTGTTTCTAGGACGCAAGCATCTTTCGTTGCTTAGATATGGAATTATTTAAGAGAATTTAACATTGTGAGTCACATTATCACTTTCTCTTTCATAAAAAGTCATTTTGTGCTACTTGAGCACTTTATCTCAACTTATTCACTTCTTTGCTAACTAAAGCATAACTAAATACAATTACTAGGATCCACACCTATTCTATCTATTTCGCTAAATTTTTTTAATTAAAACAATATTATTTCAACTTTGGGATGAAAACAACAACGAAAGAAAAATGGAAGGCGGCGTTTAGAAACGGTGGCGTTGTTAACATCTCTACACACTTCATCTTCTTCACCCATAAGTTAAATCCTAATATCTGAACGGAATCTTCACCATGAAAGCATCACGACCAAACTTCCTCATTTGCAACAAATCGGCTGGATCTCCTTCTTTCAATTGACAACCACATCGAAGCTCAATTCACGACCATGAAGCTTTTTCCTTGCAACAAAATCACTGTGGTGGTCGTAGGAGTCGTCGCCGCTTCAGTCTTCACGTCACAGAGGAAAGCTCGAGCAACAATGGTGATTTGTCTTTGTTTTGCACATTTGGTCCTCCAATATTTTAGTTGTTCTTAGCTTGACCCCAAACTTTCAAAATTACATATAAATCCTCTTGAATTAAACCCAAACTTGTAAATATTTATTCCAATCCTTCTTATATACAAGATTGGTCATTCACGCTTAGGTGTGATCTCACTTTGGTTCAAAAGTCATGAAATTGTGTGTTTATGTTTTTTTTTTTTTTTTTGTGAACTTGGCGAGTTGGAGATGTATGAAAATGCGTTTATTATGTTTGAGTTCATTATGTTTTGATGTGTGGTGTGTAAGTACAAAGTATTGTGGCAATGTGTGTTTTAACTGTTGGCTTTTTTTAGGTAAGATAGACGTGTACACGCTATAATGTGTACATATAGACAAGCTTGAATGATGTTGTACACGCAGATAAGCATGAACGAGGCTATACACATGGACAAGAATGATTATACAATTTATATGTTCATTTCTTACAAAATATAAGTGTACACATGTACAAAGTTCTATATGTACGTCTTTCTGAAAGTAATTGTAATTAAAAAAAAAATACATTTGTATGAATATCGGGAAAGGTTTTCCACAAACTGCCTTTTGAGGAGTTACATTACCAAATGTTTATGCTCAGAAGAAGATGAAACATAAGTTCACAATATCAGTTTATAAGGAGTTCACAACCTCAGAAGAAGATGAAACATAAGTTCACAATATCAGTTTATAAGGAATTACATTAGAAAGGTTTATGCTCTTCCACAAACTGTCTTTTGAGTAAACATTATCGGTAAGACGTCAATATTTGAAAAACTTATACCAATCATCCGTTCACATGGACAACTGACGAAGGCGTACACATGGACAACGTATTTATTAGTCATCCATAATATAGTGTCCATATGGACACCCAACGTTAATGATTTTTTCTTAAAAAGTTTGTATTTGCTTCTTTTATGGAAAACATCAATGACTTAGTAAATGCTACAATTGCTTCACCAACCCAAAGCCTCTGTATATTTTATTAATTGTGTATAATGAAATTTTTTGTTGCATTTGTTTGTTCATTATACATATCACATGAGATCAAATAAAAAAATTGAAGTTCATTCAATTCATTTTAAATTTCATTTTGGGTGATATAATATTTTTTAGTTCATTTAAATAATTTAGGTGTAAAAATATTATTTGTTAGTTCGTTTAAATCATTTTGATCATTTTGATTTTATTCAGGTATATATATTCTATTGTTTGTTCATTATACATAGATAAAAATAGAAATTTGGAAATTTGTGGGCAAAACTGATGAGCAGTATGTATATTTTAAGACTTATGGGGTTAAAATAAAAATAATGCAAAAAAAGAGGGACTAGAGGCGCAAAAAAGCCAAAATTATCCATTGTTATTCTGAGCTTTTCGTAACAGTTTGAAGACGTGTCGGAGAGGAACAATGATCAAAACTACGATGAATCACGATGAAGAAGGAGGATCTGAGACACAGTTGAAAGGATTGAGTCAAGGTGGGAATGTGAAGGACCAGATCTAATCGTTATTTGAAATCATGATGAAGAAGAACGCGGCAGCTTGGAAACTGAGCTTGGCTGAGGCTCGCCGGTGATTTTAGAGAAAGAACAGAGAACATAGATACGATAACATATGGTTAGAGCTCGCCGTGGCTGAAGATTCTGGTGGAAATCTTGTCGACTTGGAGCAGTCCCGACATCCATGGAATCTAACGATGAATCACCCACTGTGAACTTAGATAGTGGTTTAAGTGAATCTTAGCAGAGTAGAGATGGATCTTGAGAAGCTCAATTCACCGTTTAAAAGAAAACTGATAAAGAAGGAAGAGAAGAATAGAAGAGAATGGGGACCACCAATTATATTATAGTTTTGTTTTAGTTAGAAAACTTAATAAAATTGAGCTAATAGTTAGAAAAAAGTGTGTGAATAGATGAAAGTGACCTACAATGTTATTAACAAGTGTAAATGTGACTCTCTCCGTAAATTTCTCATTATTTAACGCATCAATCTAGTTCTTCTTTTATTTGCTGTTACATGTCAAAAAATAGATAACATAAGCATTTAAAAGGGGTAATGTAATCAGGGATTAGTTTGAAGTTTACTTTGATTCTGGACGAAGCAGAGTACCGTATATTGAGATTATTCACAGGTCAAATGACGTTTATAGAATAATTATTAAAATATTTAACATGAAAACATTATAGATTTTGTCGTTCATGGAAAAACAAACAATCATACGCAACTTTTGGTAGCATACTTCCTTTTTCCATGCATGTGCTTAAGCAAAAGGAACAAGGAAGGAAGAGTTAAAAGATCAACATCATGACTCTCTTCTCGTGAAGTATACAAAGCTTTTACGTGCGTATGATTACTTGGAATCATTACCAGCACTAATTATAGTTATATTCCAATATAATAATACTATCTCTAATATATTCATCTATATGATATATGTATGATGAGCATCTAAAAAGCATGTTGCCAACGAAGATTCTGTGAAAGGAAACAGGTCCAGATCAAAACCAGCACATCTATCATACCAAGCAAAAACGCGTCTACAACACTTTCATATTACTAGAGAACAAGACCATCATCTTCTTCATCCATGTGTCCTAACCAGACCGGTATGCTGTGACCCTAAACTGGTCATGAAAGTTTCAGAACACCAAAAATCTACCAAAGCATATCAACTATGCGTGATCAATGTAGTCAACAGCTCTTCAAATACGCAAAAGTACCACTAGCTCTAACCAAAACAAACCAGACCGCAGGACCAGAGATGGATTATCATTTCCCATTTAAGAATCATTTATAGAGTTTGAACTTTGCAACACTACTTAAAAAGATGCAGAACAACGGATACTAAGATTTCAACATCAAAGAATCAGCATTCTCTGTTTCTAATTCCCAAGATCAAAGACGAAAGACTATTTTAACATTTTTCTGTTTTCAAGAGCTATCACTTACAGCCTAATCGGTTCCTCCTCCTACCTAAAAAAATGACTCAAGCGTCAAAAATCACACCTGACCTAAGAGAATTGACAAAGAATCTGTTTTGTGTCTAAGAAAAGCAAAACATGGAGAAAAGAACTTATATACCCTGCCTTGATTCTCACAACAACATCACACAGAGAAACCAAAACATCGCACAATACGCATAAACAGAGGATCTGTGTACCACTCTGAATCACTTACAGAAGGCAACAAGAATATTCAAAGGAACAAACTCACAAAATGAAATTATATCTCGTTTTTTTTTTGTTTTCTCTCACAGAATTGGGTAAAAAACAATGTTACACGACTTGAGAGCCACTCTTTTTTTTTTCTTTCTCTCGACCTCTCTTTTTTCACTCTAGTTAGCATCATTAGGCATCATGTAAATGTGAAAAAAAAAACTACACGACCTTAAAAAGAACAAAAAAATATTATAACGAAAAGAAAAAAAAGGAACATAGTCAAACCCCAGAGAATGTACCCATTTACAGAGGAAGAGGGCTGATTGATCATCTCTCAGTAAGTATGAGTCATCCTTAAAAGCTGCTTTCTTTTGAAAACCAAGAAGGCAATAACGCATATCTGCAACATTGCTGCAAACCCAGCGAATACAAAACCAACCGTCTTCCCTGTGTTTAATCCACTTTTCTCAGACTGCTTGAAGATCCGTGGAGGAGGTGGAGAAGGCGGACTTAGCCTCCGTGATTTGTTTCTGTTAGAATGTGGAGGTGGAGCTAGTTCACGCGGAGGAGGAGGAGGAGGTTTTGGACTCGGCGGCGGTGGTTGTGAAGGTGGAGGAGGCGGTGGCGATGGAGGAGGAGGAGGAGTCAGAATGGGAACGCTGGATTGAGGCGGAGGAGGAGGCGTAGTAGTAGATTGAGTAATCGGCGGAGGAGGAGGAGGCGTGTTGACCTGTGAAGACGGTGGAGGAGAAGGAGGAGGAGGCGTGTTGACTCCTGATTCCGAGGGCGGAGATTGCATCACAAAAAGCAACGGAGGTGGTGGCGTATTGCCACCTGATTCGACGGAAAATATGGGAGGAGGAGGTGGCGGCGATTGAGTTTGTTGCGATTGGACGAAGAGGAATCCATGGAAGCTGAGAATCACACCAACAAGTAAAACATCCCAGGTTGGATGATATCTCAAATTGCAAAACTCCATCGAATCACCAAGAACTTTATTCAGATACAAAACAAAACGGTTCAACTCATAGTGGAGGAGATGAAGATTGATAGATTGGAGAAAGATCTGGTCAACGGAAGTAGATTGTTTGATTCAGGAGAGAAATCTCGAGGGAAAGAGGTCTCCGTTCCTTCCTCTCCCTGTTTTCCAGATACAGAAGGAGAAGCAAGGAATCCAGCAACTAGGTTTAGATTTCTATATATTTCCACCCAAATTCAAGAATCGGATTCGGAAGAGAGAAGAGGTCTCTCTATTCAGAACCAATTGACTTATATCAAAGAAAAACTTTGGCAGAAAGTGGTTCAGTTTTCCGGGAAAATTCAGAGAGTGAGAGAGAGCGGTAACGGCTTAGGGCTAAATCTGGGGAGACAGAGAGAGGGGAGAAATTTTGGGGGAAAATGTAAAGAGATGATAGATAGATAGATAGATTTCGGTTTTTACAAGCTTCTCTTTGCTGTAAATCAAACTGCGTATCCAATGTCAATCTTTTTCATCCATCGTGGCTTCATCTCAACTCCTTTGAACTCGTAGACTCTCTCATACTCTGTTAATGGGCCTAAGCCCACGTTCTTAATGCAAATAGAGTTTTTTTATATATCCAATGAATACTTAGGAAGCAACAGACACATGATGTCCCTTACGAATTGCTCGGTAATCAGGTGATGGGACCCGACGATGATGAAGATAGAAAGTTGCTTTTTTATAACACTGATACTTTCGGGACAATACAAAATGAGACAGAGTTATAAGAAAGAAGAGAATATGTCATTAGACATCAAAACAAAAGTGAAACAGAACCTTACCCAATCTCTAATTGCTGAGCCTCCAAAGCGAGTAAGTGATGTAACTATACGGGAGCATTGTAAGCGATGTAAGACTGGTGGCGGTGATCACGAGTGACACTGATTGCAATAGCGTCAGCAGCTTCATTGCATTCTGGGAGTGCGTGATCTAAACTCCATAAAGCAATCCGGGTGAGTAGAAGGGAGGTATTGTGACGGATATGGCTGAGACTGGGATGATCATTCGGATTCGTGAATGCGTCATGGAGATTCTCCGAGAAAGTCTCAAAAATAATATTCGAGAAATGTAAATTGTGGATGCTATTCACTGCCCAAAAAAGAGACCATAGATCAGCCTCCGTTTTTGTGCGCATATAAGAATAAGCACGACAACTATGCATGATTGTACATTCATTTTCATCTCGTAAGATCCATGAAGCACCACTAAGACAATTCGAGCTTAACCATGAAGACCCAACATTACATTTTAGGAAACCATGAGAAGGTCTCCTCCATCGAATCGTTGCAGTAGGAACATCATTGACAATCTCTTTTGTTCCTGTGAATGTATCAAACCATGTTGCTCAAATCGATTTTTTTTTAAAAAGTAATCACTCGTTTCCGATATCTACACCGCCTTCAAAGAAGCTAACATGAACGCTGAAAGATTTGCGAGATTTAAAATAATTTCACAAAATAATCTTTAGTCATTAAAATCATTTTTTTACAGAAATTAATATTATAATTAATTCAAATCATTGATTATAAAATTACTTTATATTTCATTTTAACACATAAAAAACATAAGTACTCTAGCTTCAAAAAAAGAAAGATTATTTTTTTGTATAACTCTAAGATTATTTTTTATTATTCAAAAAGTTTAAATTTAATAATTCTTTAAATTTATTAAAGTAGGTGTTATTGAGAGTTATCTTCTTTACCATTTAACTCATAATACAAGATTTTGAGAATATCATTTATCTTTAAGGTTTATATTTGTGACAAAAAATATTTTACGTCTATTGTAGAGAATTTCTCATAAATAAATGTTATATACAATAAGAGGAGATATGAGAGGAAAAATGAAATTTTCTTAAATCCTTGATTCATTAACATAACAAGAGGGTATTTAAGTCAATGTCGATATCCATGGCATGAAAAGTTGCTTTCAATCAAAAACACAAGACGAGGAGGATCTTAGATGAATTTTCGATTGTGTCATTTTGATATATGACATGTTTAGATTCTAGACATCGAAACATTAAAACAACACTACAAGAAAACACGTCCTTTACTAGGACGGGTTTTCCTCGTTATTTCCTAGTAAATGGCCCTTTACTAGGAAATAGCGAGGAAACGTGTTTCGTCGAAAGACGTTCATCGTAAAGGCTATTTTCCTCGTAAAAGCCTAGCTACTTTACGAGGAAAGGTTTCCTCGTAAAGCCGTGGAAAAGTTTTCCTCGTAAG